TATATGGGGCCAGTACCCTACCCACTGAGTCACAGGCGCTGCCCACAATAATACCACAGCTTTGATTACTGTAAGGTTTTTAGTACTGTTTTCCTTTTTTATTTTGAAATATACAGTCTGGCTTATGTTGAATTCTTAAACCACCTTTGAGTGTTCACTGGCAAGACAAGTTTAATTAAGATCAGGGACTGGTGTGCAAACAGGCACAGAGGAACAAGTCATCACAGAGTCTGGTTTCTTTGGAAAAGAACAGGCACAGTCACTAGGGTAAAACCGTATGTGTTTATTCAACCAACAAATACTGAGTCATTAAAATACACCTTGTCCATGTGCAGAAACATTATTATACATTCAACTCTGAAGGTAGTTTTTATACGACCAATAAAAGGAATAGTCTTAAAAGAGGAATACAGATGGTAGTGAGGAGCTAAACAGCAGAGTTTTCCCTTCAAAGTGCTAAGGCCTATGTGCACAGATTTTAAGACTGACATAAGGTCACGTACTCAACTCTGACTTCTCTTGGTGCTGGTGAAGGGTGTAACACAGTGAGTCACAGAATTAAGATGGGTTTTGACAAAGTAGGTCAAAGCACTTATGGCCAAAAGTTTTTAATTTCTGGAGTTTCATGTTATGTTCTCCAGATCTTTCTTGGATGGACTCCAGTAATTTTGTGAAGGCTCCAAGCACAAACTGCTCTTTAATTAGAGCGTCATTATCAGAGAATAAACTGTGTTTCCCAGGCTAGATTGTGTTTATCCAACAAAAGGGTAACCAAATCTTGGAAGAATCTTAGAGATAAAGACAGATTATCAGAGAACAAACTGTCTTTCCCAGTCTAATCTATTTGCTTATCCAACAAAAGGGTAACCAAACTCTGGAAGAATCTTATTAATTTAAAACTTGTGCAAAGTGATTACATATATAGATTAAACTGGTGCTACTACTTAGGTCTCCAAACTATCAGGTTGTTGTCTGAAAACCTAAAATGAAAAGCACTGCTGCCTTGGGGTCAAAGTCCAACTCCATCATTTCTAAGTTCTAGGTATTTGAGAACATGAGACTCTGGTTTTAATTAAAGAAATAACCCAAGAAACAAAATTTTAGGTACCATACTTTCCATAGAAGAACATAGGCTGTGTGTAAACTAGCTTCAGATATTTTGATAACATTTAATGCATTACTCTTATTGGGCTAATGTGAATCTTAAAATACTTAAATATTTTAAAAGAGGATTCATCATTAAATTTGAAGTGTGGACTCAAGTTGGTCTAATACCGAGTTTAGGAAGCCAGTTTCCTTTTTGCTCAAAAAGGTACGAAAACCTTGAATCCTGATTAGGAGCAAAAGCTGCCATAATTCAATAGAACACCATTCCTCAGTCCCACACAATGTTAGACTTAGGGGACACTTCATGTTACACTTACGGGAATTCAGCATCAAGTCAAGTAAACTCAAAACCTTTAAAAAAAAACCCCTAAAATAGAATAAGCTACTTAATTCAAAGTTTACGTAAATCCATTTAAAATCAAACCCCAGGCTTATCTTTCTTCTCAAGACATCCTCTAAGCTTTACTGTTAAGATGAATATCAGGACATGGTTTTTAAATTTTCTTTTTTTTTTTGAGACAGTCTCTCTTGTCACCCTTGATAAGAGTGCTGTGGCATCAAAGCTCACAGCAACCTCAAACTCTTGGGCTTAAGTGATTCTCTTGCCTTAGCCTCACAAGTAGCTGGGACTACAGGTGCCTGCCACAACACTCAGCTATTTTTTATTGCATCTGCCATTGTTGTTTAGCTGGCCCAGGTGGGGTTTGAATCCACCAGCCTTGGTGTATACAGCTGGCACCATAACCACTGTACTATAGATGCCAAGCTGGTTTTTAAAAATTTCTTTAGCTTGTTTTTTTTTAAGAGACAAGAGTCTTATTTTGTCGCCCTTGGTAGAGTGCCGTGACATCACAGCTCATAGCAACTTCCAGCTCTTGGACTTAGGCAATTCACTTGCCTCAGCCTCCCGAGTAGCTGGGACTACAGGCACCCGCCATAATGCCTGGCTAATCTTTTCGTTGTTGCAATTTGGCCAGGGCCGGTTCGAACCCTTGGAATATGGGACTCGCGCCCTACTCACTGAGCCACAGGCGTCGCCCATCTTCAGCTTCTCTTGGGTTTGAAGAACCAGGAGAATGAGAAGCAAGTTATTTTTCAAGAGAACCCACCATCTAGTCACAGCCCATCTCCACAGCTGATGACATCTGGCTCTTTTTCAGGTTTCATTTGTCCTTCCTGTTATAAGGATAACAGTGATTCCCTTTGTAGGTTAAGGCTGAAAGCTACATGGAGGTACAAAGTATTCCTTAGTGTATACAGTTTCTATGAAAGAAACTCGATCTTCCATTGAACATCATAAGTACTAGGATAATTAGAGCATAACCATTCTCCCACTTCCTGGACAATTAAGACTATATTACATAGTGGAATACACCAAACACTTTTGACTAAAAGGTGGACATGAATTATTTTGGCATACAGACTTTGAGTTGAAAATCACATAATCCACATTAAAGACAAGTGGTAAACAAAATTTAAGAGTAAGTATTGGCAAAAATACCATGATTTATCCTTTTAAAACTTTCCTATCAGAAAGATCTACAGAATTATGACTTAGGTCACTAAAATGAAAAGGGCTAAAGTTTCACTGAAGTCCTTTTAGTCCTGTGACTTGCCAGGTATGAGGGTTCACACCTGTAATTCTAGCACCCTAGGAGGCCCAGGCGGTGGTAGATTTCTGAGCTCACAGGTTTGAGACCATCCTGAGCAACAGTGAGACTCTGTCCCTTTAAAAAAACAAAACAAAACTGGGCATTGTAGCAGGCGCCTGTAGTCCCAGCTAATTGGGAGGCTGAGGCAAGAGGATTGAGCCCAAGAGTTTGAGGTTGCTGTGAGCTATGAGACCATGGTACTCTACCAAGGGTGACAAAGTGAGACTCTGTCTCAAAAAAATAAAAAATTTCTCGGACTTAAACATCTAGGAAAAAAGTTCTATAATTTTAGGTAAGAACAGTAAAATATCCATTATGGAAAAATACAGGGATGCAACAATTCAAAATGAAGGGATACAGTTCCTGATCACCTGTAAGTGAAAAATGTGGGGAAAAAATTTCTTTAGCTTCTTTGGGGTTTTAACAGTGATAGGAAAGCTGTATCATTTACCCAATTATTACTTGAAAAAATGCTGATATATTAACCTGAAATAACTGAAAGGGATTTCACTTTTAGATTTTACTCATTTTCTGAAATTTCTTTTCAACCCTAGATATTCCAATGCTAATTCTCAAAAGGTAAATTTTATTAATGTAGATCATGATTTCCACAGTCTGTTTTTTCATTGAATGTCTTCCTTTCCTTCTTGTTTTACAACCGTTTTTGTCCAGGGTTTCAGGTACATCTATTTCATATTTATTTACACTTCAGTTTTCCAGGTCTTTGGAAATAGGGAGCATCTGCTACTCCTTGAGCACTGACTATGTGGTTACTGTTACAGAAAGGCCTCTGACAACTCACAGGACTGGTTTTGCTTCCCCTTGCAGCACCAGCACTTAAATAGTCCTTAGCACATGGCAGGTGCTCAACAAGCATTTGAAGTAGTGAATAACATGATTTGACAAAAAAGTTAGAAACATGATGCAAAATTTCACTTATGAAGACCAGTTGAGATTAAGTACTGTCAAAAGCAACCAACACAGGTTCTTAAGACTCTTTGAAGTATAGAAAGGGTGTATGGGTATCCAGGCTGAAGTTGCCCCGTGTTCTGGCATATTGTTTTTTCTCACTCAACTGCAGACTTTTTAGGCTTCCATGTCAACTGAATATAAATTTCACTTCCCATGAGGTAGGAGGCCCATTTAAGTAACAACAAATTAAGTACTAGAAATGGGGAAGTCAATATTTGTAAATGGTCACCATGAACTAGTGTGCACACATTTAGATATTTTACCTTAATGCCTATTCTATATGGAAATTATGAAGACACAGATGTTCCCTGAGGCTTAAAAAGTTTCCTTTAGAAACAGTACATTTTCAGCTAAGATCTACAGTACTGTTCTCGTGGACCACTGAACTATCTCCAATGTCCTTGGGCAACTCAGAAATTGGAAATTTCAATGAAAAAGAGTATTGTCTTTTGTATTATCCCTTCATTTCCATAATGTTCTAATTTTTTGAATCAGTGAAAATAACCACAGCTGAGCAATTACGGGGAAAACTAGTCAACTACAATTAAAAGTCAGTTTCAGAGATCATCAAGATGCATTCTTGAAAATATGACCTTAACTTTCCTTTTAGGTCATCAATGAATCTACATATCATTCTTTTTAAAGAATGGGCAAAGTACTACATACCTTTATTTCCAAAGATCTCGGTATCATTTTGCTCCCTTCATCATATTGTCTATCCTAAAACCAAGTATTTACCCTTACGAAGAGTTCTTTTGCTTTAGACAGCATTCTAGGTATAGTACTGCAGACAATTATCCTCTCCTAACATCTGGCTCAGTTCTCATTTCCTTAACTACCCTTCCTGAACCCTGGGATTTCAAAATTCAAGTGTCAAATACTGAAACAGAACCTAATTGAGGCACAGGTGTTTCTCTTCACATGGTCCTCTTAGTTCTTCGACCTGTCCAGGTCAGGCAGGATGTGACTCTGGCTATGAAACTTACTTCTCAGAGAAGAATGAGGAAACAGCAAACAGACATTACTTCACATACCCCTAGAAACTGGAAGGTGGTGGCAGTGAATATCTGCTAAGGAATTATTAATCACTATGGAGAAAGAAAAACCTATTTTTTCCCCCTGAGATATTTCCTTACCATTCTTTGATTTAGAAGCAAACAATGGGCACATTAAAAAAGAGGCTGCATTGTGTTTCTTCACTTTTCCGATAATCTTAAAGGTTGGAAAACAGAAGACCAACAGGAAAAACATGGAGACAGACAGGCTAGGAAAATTTAATCATATTTTTACTTAAGTTCTAAAAGAAATACACTACCCTGGTTTGAAATTCCTTGGTTCACTCTCTTCCATATAATCTGTGGTTATCTTTCCCATTGTGGTATAAGGCAGTAACTGAGGGCCCTTCCCCATGCCACTCTCAGATGTGTCAGACCTCAAGATTCACCAAAAACTCCAAGATTTTTATTTTCACTTTTAATGATCATTTACTTAATAATAAAATGAAAAATAAGAATATAGGAAGGAATACATACAATCTATATACATATATTTATTGCAAATACTTAAAATTCTTATGTAAAATGATTTTTTTCTCTATTTGTGAAAAAATATGACTTTTTAAATGGTGTTGACACCAACTTCTCTGTACATACCCTCAATTCCAATGTTAACAATTCCTTTAAAAAGGCAAAAGACACAAAAGTTTAGCAATTACCAAACCAGTCTGTACAAACCTTATAGCCAGAAGGGAAAAAAATAGCTTGTGGTAAATAAGTCAATTTTCTTTTAAAATAAAAAATAACCCCCCCAAACTACTCCCCTTATTGCATTTTTTTTTTTTTTTTGGAAATAATCTGAGTGTCTTTAGAGTAACTTCCTTTGAAATAATTTGTGCCTTAACAGTGAGGTCCTACATTAAACATACCATATATGAGAGATTCAAAGTCTTCCACTGTCACTTTTTACATAGATATTAAAATATATATTACTTAAAATATATTACTGGAAAGCTATTTTTAAAATTGATCTTTAATAGTTGTATCAAATGTAAAGCATTAAAAAAAATAATGTAACCAAGAATCTATGAAGCTATTGCTTCAACTTTAGGAAATGTTTTACCTACTGTTTTCTTTCAATAGGTGTGTAGGTACTGAAACATGGTAGGAAAGGTCCCTGCCTATCATCATGTTTCTCAAAGTCTCTTTGGACTATTCTATAAACTGAGCTGAAAACTACCCTTTGCCAAGTTTTTTACTTCGCATACTGTTGTAATGCAATGGGGAGACTTTCCCTCCTTGCTATGCCGTGAAACCTTTGCGTCAAAGAGAAAACCACTCTAGTGCTGCTCATTTACAGTGAGTTCTAGAAATAAATAGCAATGTAATGAGACAAGAAGAGACCTCCCTCATTATAACAAATCATTTTCCCTGAAAGCTCTATTGCGCTCTGTAAGGTATAGAAAGGCAATAATAAGCCAACAGAATGTTAACTGTCAGGTCATTAACATGTATGACTTCACACCTTCACCTGGAAGGCAATGAGGTCTTCTTTTGGCTATTTATATCTCAGATAAAAATCTAAAACTCATACATCTGTGTGCCTTCACAATCCACTTAAATATGCTTCCTCCTCCATGCCAAGAATAATTTCCCATCGACCAGCACTTATTCTTAAAAATGGTACACGGAATACCACAGATAGCTCCAGTATCTTGAGCACAGGATTTAAGGGAACAGAAGTAGGGCAAACAACTCCAGGTTATTCGACTTTACTTTCTGTTGAATAGAATGAAGAATTTTAACTAAAGAAAATTCTTTAAGATTCAGAGTCTTCTCTACTAGACAACTTAGAATATTTATAAGACTGAGATGATATATAGTTAATGCTATCTCCTGAGGTGACCTGCAGCAGAAGGTGGGTAATCTGATGGCTAGACAAGACTAGAGGCATGTGCATCAGGAATGACGCTTGACTGGTCACTGGAAATAATGTCAGGTAATACCCTAAGAATATGCTTAGCACTTAATAAAACATTTCAGATTGAACAACTCAAAAGCTAAGTTAAAAAATTGCTTTAAAGGTGCTGTTGGAGTACCATATTATAATAATTTGAAGGTTTTGTTCCTAACTGCTTCATTTTCTAGAAGGCCAGATTATTATATAATTCTTTTTCTGTCCAGCTTATAAAATGAATGGCTTTCTACTTGAAACAACTGTTTTGAAAAAATTGAAAAAGAGACTGGTGTTCAACTTACTACCAAACTAAGAACAATTTAAAACTGTTCTCTCATCTGGTTAAGATTGAGGCAGCATACCTAATTGGTAATTTGTTTTAGGACTATTATTCCTAAATGCAAAAATTTAGCTCATTATTATTTATGAAGAGAATCTGGTGAATAGTAATACTTAGGACCTATCTGTAAGAGCCTGGGTCAAGATGAAGAGGCACAATATGGTTTGCTTTCTAAACGGACACCCTGGAAAAACCCTGACACCTTTCCTCCCTTCCTAGTTACAGTCTATCTGCAGATTGAGGGAACCATGGAGAAAAGCCTTTCTGACACGAAAGGAGTGCAGCAGTAAAATCACTTTAGTCAATCAAAATTGATAACTGACTTTAGCACAGATTCAATTCTGAAACATCAACCTCTTCCAGCATGCAGACAGCCCTCAACACTAAAGTGGGGCGTGGAGTTTCACCCATAAGTCTTTCTAACCTCACCCCTCAGAATGCCCAGGGTACTGAATGTTTGGGAGCACAATCATAATCTGTTTCCTACTGGTTCTTGGCTTGAGAACTTACTCTTTATCCCTGGGTTCTTGCAGCCTTCTTATCTCTTAGCTGTGTGTGTGCTGGAAGAAAAGGGGGAAGATGGAAGGACATCATATTGTTTTGTCTGAAACTGGAGCACAGATATTAATCCTACTATTTGCCTTGGGCCATAAAAAAAGTCAGAAATGAAAATAAACAAATAGTGAAGTGAAGTTCTTATGGTATTTGGGGCAAAGACTATGGAAAAGCATTAAAACAGTGAGGTGGTGGCGGGTGGGGTGGGCAAAAACCAGATTACTATTGCTTACTTTTTCCTAATCTAGAATATAGTTTAATTAAGGAATTTAAGCTGTTCTGCACTTTGTAAGCATCATGTCCTATTAAGTACAAAGACAACTGTACTATGTTGCACTAAAGTTTTTACTTTACACACTTCAAATTGGGAGACTTAAGATCAATATGCAAATGATGCAAATTGACACTCTCCAATTTAATACTATGATAAACCAAAGGTTTATTTTAATGATCTTTAATCTAAATACTATGTACTTAAAAATTGTTACTAAAGGATTTAAAAAACAAAAAAGAAAATAAACAAAAACAAACAACAAAACTTTGGAGCTAATTTTTCTTCCATTCTAGACATTCCCTAAGTCATTCATTCACCGAAACTCCTTTACATTCTAACTTTCTTGTTGTGCAGATAGCAGTAATCTAAAACAGGGGACATATTTTCTAAAACAAAAAAAGTGTCATGTTCTGTGCATATGTGCACACAGGTGTGTAGCAAAGTTAAGAGATAAAATCATGTCATCATCCTTAGATGCCTGGGAGGTCAAAACAGGTTGAACATAATAAGCAAATGTGGCATTAATGAGCTTCTCCCTGTGACAACAGTTGACTATAGAACTAATATTAGGTAATGGGCTGGGGGAGAAGAAAAGAGAGGCTACCTTGTTTCTAGTGTTACAACTGTTCCCCAAAGTTCTTTACATCCAATTCAACAGCTTCAGCTGTTTCATTCCCCTTGCCTAATAACACGTAGTTCACATTACCTCATCACTAACACTCTTCTACTATTTTTATGCTAGTATTTCAAAACTGCAAGTTCCCATGAATGCCTTAAGTGAGGATATCTTTGCTGGAATTATTGCCCTGCACAGGCTACAACACAGGGGGAGCATGGAGAGGCAACCCCTTTACAGATTACATTCACTGTGTCAGGGCAGGGGTGGGACCAGGGAGCAACAGGGATCCATGAACTGCAAGCAGAGTGCTTGGCAATGGTACTGGTTTAGGGAAACCAAGAACCAAGTCGGAGCTTTCAGAATCTGAACCATTAATACCTTATCAAATACTTCAGCTGAAGAAGTTTCCATCTAAGGTAAAGGGACTGAGTAAACTCTGAATCCAAATCCTTCAAAGGCTGAATAATCTATGAATAACCTGCAGCCAGTCTGTCAAGATATAATCTGCATAAACGGTCACTTCTTTAAACCATTCCGTCACTGTTTTCCTGACTGCTTAGGAAAGATCAGAAGGGAGACAGCTTCCTTTCACCATGCATGCCATTAAAACTTTTCTCAGAGTCACATGAAGTGGAACATAAATCTGAATTCAAAGTAACACATTATTACCTAAACACTTGGAAAAATGTTAAACAAAATGTGACATATTTACATGATTTCTTAAGTGCAAACTTGTCACAAATTCACAAAGTCTTGCTTGACTTAGACTTACTATACAAGGTGCTTTTCCTCTAAAATGTAAAAGATCTGTACTCTGTATTCCTGATTAAGTAACATTTGTCTCTTAAGACAATTGAAACCTACTTGTTTATTTCTGTGATTCCAAAAGGATGCAAAAAAAAAAAAAAAAAAAAAAAACAAAACACATCTGGTCAACCCTTCCCTTCCCCGCCCCATCTTTACAGTGTGTCTCTAGTCTCGTTACCGAACGACAAGGCAGGAGACGCACAGTTTGGAGGGGCCAATGCAATCATCATGGCAGAAAGCTCCACAACCTTTGCACATGATCATGGCTTTCAATCGGCAGTAACATTTTGAAGGCGTGTCCTCTATGCTGTTCTCTTCAGGAAAGGCCTGAACAGGAATGGTCTGGCCATGACTGCTGGGATTCATAGCTTGGCTAGCAGGGATGGTAGTGACAGTCACTGAAAAGGACATGACATCACCTACGTTGCTAGATACCTGGCTACCTGGTACAGCAGAGTTATGGTCCATGTCAGATGAGGTGGAGACATTGATCATGCCTCTGTAGCTTGGCCCTATCTGTGTGGGGCTTCCATATAACTTTGGGGTTTGCAGTGATGGGAGGAGTAGAGGCTGATGGGTGGGGCTATTATCTGCAGGTAGAGGAAGAGCCGTAGAATTGAAAAGCTCAGGGCTGCCACACATTTTCTTACCTCTCACCGCATGAGCCATTTGCTTCTGTGCTGCCTGAATTAAATCTCTGGCTAGGGTCTTTTCATCAAATGTTTGGCCTCTAGTGAATAGGTAATTCTCCTTGCTTAATGTGGCTTGCTCAATCCCTGGTGTCTCAGCCTTCACATTCTTGTTAGCTAAGCAATCACTGGTGGATAGGGTTTCCCTACTGTGGGGTCCTGAACTTGTGTCACATTTGCCAGAACTCTGGGCAACCTGAGGCTCCTCCTTCACCATGACAGAGTCCTGCTCATCACCGGTACTTTCCTCATCAGTATCATCTTCTTTGCCACTGCTACTATCTCCTGTTGCATTCTTACAGTCTGTATATCCCATTTTCAAGGCTTCAGTGGGACTACTTAGACAAAAACGGTCTTCAGGGTTTATAGAATGGGTCCTCCTAAAGCTCTCTGAACCCCGGCCATAGGTGGAAATATTAAGTAAGTAGTGACCTGCCATTGCAGGCTTAGATGTCCTTCTGCCAGCAAAACCCAGCATGAACCTCTGGCTTGTGGAGATGTCTTCCACCTGGAAACCTGAGTGAGCAAAGTTGAACTGGGAGGGTGGTACAATTGAGAGAAGATTCTGCCTTCGAACCTTTTGGATGAGTGTCTGAAGGATCTGATCTTGGGTTGCTTTACTTAGTCCTTCTTGGTACTGGTGTGTGTCAATGCTGGAGTCCCTTAGCTCTTTGGATGAAAAGAGATGAAGGGGCCTTGGAAATGGGAGCGACTTACTTTGTAAGGTTTTACCCAGCTGTTGCGCAGCTGGATGGGCCTGTCGCTCACTAACTTCTTCCCTGGTACTATTTTCTGTTGTGTTGGTACCAGCAAGTGCTCCCATCCCCCTTTCCTCTTTTGTAGTCAGTGGAACAGTTTTCATTTCAACTTTGGTAAGAGGTTTAGGCAGAATTTGCTCCATGGGAACATCTTTGCCCTGGAGCAGCTGAGTAACTAAAGGATTATTAGCAGGGATACTAGAGCTTGGTCTTGAAATGGGTCCATTCATATTTGAAGAAGTTCCTGGGGTTTTAAGGCTAGAAGCTGCTGGCAAAGAGCTCAAGGGTGGAGCTGATCCAGTAGGTGCTATAGTTACACTAACTTGGGGTACAGGAAGCTTTTCTAAAGTGGCTGTTGTCAATAAAGATGTTAAAGGGGAGGGAGTCATAGCCACTGGAGCATTAGCATCTGTCTTTGCTGAGGCTGAAGAGTTTGGTGTATTCTTACTGGAACCGGCTTTGGGCTCCACTGTGTCATCAGCTACAAAATGAATAGGTGAGGCACCTAAGATTAGAGCAGGACTTGTTGGAGTTGGAGAAGATGCTTTTTCCTGTCTGCTACTACTGGGCCCTTGTGGGTGGCTCAGAGAAGCCACTGTGGCTGTTGCCCTGGTTGAGTTCAGTTTCTCATTATCCAATTTCTCTATGTAGGCTGGTGATGGGACATTTGTGCATGTTCCACTGACGGCAGGTGTTGGAGGCACTGAGGGGGTTTGCTGTAGTTGTGCTCCAGAGACACTATGAGGCTGTGCCTGGTCTGGGGTGGCCTTGGTCTCAGACTGGGGCTTAGTTTCTGGACCACAGGGTAAAAGCTCTCTCGTACCTCCCCTGCTTCCAGTTCCTGCCAGTTCCAGTGTGGGGCCTTTTCCAGTTCCATTGACTCTGTCTGAGCCTGGACTGCCTCCTCTAGCAGTTTTCCCTTCACCACCCTCTCCTGGACCTTGTCCACCCCCTGGGCCAGGTCCTGGAATGGTCCCTCCAACTGAGGCGGCTGCAGCAGCTGCGGCGGCGGCTGCAGCAGCTGCCCTCTGTGCTTTGACCAGCTGGGCTTTTGCTTTGATGTCTGCAAGGGTTCTGGCTCCTGTTCTGTTAGGACTAGTGATGGAGACTGGAAAACAAGCCCTGGGAGAGACCTGCGATGAATGAAATGGCATGGGGGAGATTCTGGAGACCGGGATCTGAAAGAAATGGCGGGGGGGG